CTTGAACCATCTCGAGCATCANTCTGTGCTTCAAGTCGCTGCTGATGACGCTGCTTCCGGCATCAGTTTTTGTTTTTGGTGTCTCTCTTCGTCTGATGCCTACCCTTTGACCTGTCCAGCAAGGGAGTCCCTGCCAGTAGCTACGCTACCGCTGGTACAGCTCTCAGGGTCCTTGGCATACTCAAACCCCCTCACCACGATAAGGTGGATTGTAAATACAGGGTTTCGCCGGTCACGGTAGCCGAGCGGTCTAAGGCACGCTCTATCTTCGCTCGCTCGGAAGCCGAGATCGTGTGTTCGAATCCCACTCAGGGCATGGATGTTTGTGTGGGGTTTTCTGTTTGTCTACAGGTAGAGGCCTTACGACGAGCTGATCACTCGCCCAAGGAGTCCTACCGTATGTGTAAGATCTAGAAAAACCGAAGTGAACGTAGTTCATGGAGGTAGGCCTAGGTCCACTGGGGCTGTAGTGCCAAGGAAAAAAAAAAATACAGAGTTTCAATACATTCAAACATTATAATTCTATGTAAAACTTCTACATGACGAGACAATTAGCAATGGATCCATAGCAACACATGATCCAACAATGAACCTGGACGACTTTTGTTACTTATAAACGCCTGATGATTGCCATAAATGACCGAAACATGTAGCAAAAATAACGTCTTAATAAAACTAACTAATTTTGTCTACAAATTGTGTCCATCAGTTATTTATTTAAAGTATAAAATTGTTGTGGTCGACGAATGTATTTACATAGTAGTTATATAGTACATACATTTTTTATACTCACAATATGACGTCAAACTAAATATTATTATTTCATTTTACGCATACATTTATTGGTTGACTCAAATATGCAATTTTACGTAATGGACGAGCGGAATTTTCACTTAGGTACGAATTAAATTTCACTTTCTCATGAGCAGTGCCTAGTACTGTTACGAGCAGAAATCACAGAGTTCTAAAACAAAACTAGGAACAAGATTTTGACAGCTTCGTGCGTTTTCAGCACATCACAATACAAAGATGGCAGTTCTGTCTGTATGTACGTATGGATGCCTCGCTAGCGACTGAACGATTGGATAGATTCTATTTACAATCAATACGTCAAAATGTCCACTGTCGGTGAGCGGTGAATCTAAACGTTCCGTCTCGAAATGCAATAGACCCTTCAAACGGGCTCCAAAACACAAAATGGCGATTCTCTTGAAGTATGTCCCAAACGAATCGGATTCAATTTCATTAATTTATAGAGATCACTTCCGTAAATAAAACTGCAATGATGGTATCGTCAGAAAAATAATGGTACGAGTATTAAGGACCCAAACGCGAAATGTCTATTTTCTTGAAACCGGCTCTATCGGTGGGACGGATTTCATTATTGTTCGGTACTGGGCACCAAGCAACGACGAATTTAATTTCCAAGATAAACCTTGCAGCCTTAGTCCTCATGTAACATCCCGTGTGGCCATGTTACATAAGGACTAAGGCTGTAAGGTTTAAGCTGCAAAAATAAAATTCTGGTCGCAAGTCTCCAGGTGTTTGGCGCCAAGAAGGACTGATGGTAAACCGCCAGTCGTAAAGCAAATCTGTCTCTGATTTTGGGCAGATGTTTTGAAGTACTATATATATATTTTCATACATCTGTGGGTTAATTATATTCACACTAAATTAAAGAAGTGGCTGATATGTGACATATGAGGTTTGGGTTCGAGGTATCTAATTCCGCGGCGTTTTTCTGTGTGGGCCGATCCACCACAGAAGGAATTCTAAAACAATTAAAGATTCGTAGCTTTATAAATATTATTAATTTATACTCTGTAGGCGCGAGAGTACAAGCATCAATTTATTTTGCTGATGGTTTACTAAAGGATGCTGCAGTATAGCCTCGAGTGAGAGGTTTATTAGCAAATAATGACTGGGACGGAACATGGAAGGAAACGGTCGCTGCGTAATTGGTTGTACAATTGTTTAATTTGTTCGGAGGGGTTGCTGAAAGCCAGGACCACCAATATCCTGTTTAAGGATAGATTCTTGAACTCCTAATCTCCGGAATACAAAGCAAAATATTAACCGATCGGCCAAGATGTTATATTATGTATGGAGAATTACATTAACAATTATAAAGTAGAAAGTGATATTGATGTAATCAACGTATGGGAGGTGGAAATCACTCCGAACGTATTCAGAAATATTGTAAAGCATCTGCTGTAACAGGCGAAGTTATCTCTCCGCTTAATTAAGCACCATGCCATGAAGACGTAAGGGAGAGTGAAGGTAGATCTCCATGTAGTGTTAATCTCGACACTGGATGGCAGTGAGTGGTCAGCTTTCAGCCCCCCCAGATGAACAGGGACCCTCAATTCCCACGGGACAGTAAGCTGAGCGGGTCCCAGGGCCAGGAATACCTGCTGTTCGTTCCGGGAGTCAAACACCGACTCCTCGGCTACTTAGCGCACAGCCTAGTCACTATACCGATTGAGCTATCCCAGCTATTTGAGATTTTTCTGGGGGGGAGGGGGCGCTACAGCAGCCCCCTGTATGTCTCCTGCTGTTTTGCATTTGTATAAGTGATTAAGCCCGACAAGGGCGCATAAACAGAGGGAAGGAACGGCCCGTGTTAAAATCAATATTTGTGCGCAGCCAACATTTGTAATGGACTGGCCCTCAGCCTCCCGTCGCAAACCCCTGCAAAGTACATGATGCTTACTGAAAACTGGATTATCTTTAACAAGCAGCAATTACTGTCAAGGCCGGAAATAATAACTGAGGGCGTGTTTTGTGTGTCAGTCATTGCAGGCACGAAGAAGGGGCGAAAAAAGTTGAAACACGCCTGCGTACAGTCTCATTCCCTGATAACCAACTAACTAAGAAATTAACCCACCTAACTACTAACCAGGCCGGTCACGGTAGCCGAGCGGTCTAAGGCATGCACTGTCTTCGCTCCCTTGGAAACCTGGATCGTGTGTTCGAATCCCACACAGGGCATAGATGTTTAGTTTGTATGTGTGCGTTTTTCTGTGTTTGTGTACAGGTAGAGGCTTTGCGACGAGCTGATCACCCGCCCAAGGAGTCCTACCGAATGTGTAAGATCTAGAAAAACCGAAGTGAACGGAGAAGTTCATGGAAGTAGGCCTAGGCCCACTGGGGCTGTAGTGCCAACTACTAACTATCTAATTCATTAATCAGATACCTAGTTAACACAACATCTACCTCTCACAAAAGAGAATCTTTCATAATTTACTCAATAAATTCACAGAACATTATGGAAACTGAAGGTTCATTATCATGCTCACAAGAATCCGTCATCGGCCCCTATCCTCAGCCAGATGAATCCACTCCACACCCTCATATTTCCTTAAGATACATTTTATTATTATACTACAATCTACACATTGGTATTCCCAGTAATTTATTATTTTTTAGAAATTTCTGTAAAAGCTATGTATGCATTTCTCTTCTCTCCCATGCATGCTACATGCCCAGTATGCTTTATCCTTCTCGACTGTTACGCTTGAACTACACGCAGAGCCTTCACTAAGCATCGCCCTACAATGAGCTGTACTTGGTCCCACATGTCCAAAACATCAAGGCGTATCGAGCAGGTTATCATAGCAGTAGCACTCTAGATTTGTGTCTGGGAGGTACTCAGTTAGAATCTAGTCTTGTACGCTTGCGATGTCTTCACCAGCCGTTCCATCGAAACGGCTTCTAACAGTGGAGATTCTTCAGCTTCCCGCACTCAGGTCCTTCCTTCGCCGACTATCGCTCAGAACTACCAATATGTACGGCAGCCAAGATTGTTAAAGACTTATGCGAGTATTTTGGCAAAGTTCTTGGGTTTGATTCCAATCCCGGTTCCTAGAAGTTTAGAACTGCATCAGCAAATTTCGGTTTCTTAATTTCAGTGTTATTCATTCTCTAATACTTAAGTATATATATATATATATATATATATACTGTGGTATGCAGACCCGTTGCTAGGCAACGACCGCGAAAGAAGCAGCTATACAACAACCGTTAATGAGTAATGGCTTTGCAACCAAATATGTTTCCTCGGCAATAATTTTATTTCAACAGAGGAGCAGTGTTTCCTGCGCGGTCCGTGCCGAGATATTACAAGCAGAACAGTTGGAGGAATGAGTTAGTTTGGGCCAGCCGGTAAGGACGTGAGCACGGAAGCAAAACCCATTGTTTAATCCGTCACCAGGCAACGACTGATGAAGGCATAGCAGACTGAGAAGAGTGTATGTGTGTTGTAGTGACAGTAATGATCTGTGAATTGTGTAACTGAGTGAGATTGTCGTAGTTATCTTTAGTTACGTTCTGTAAGTGTTCAATAAATCCAAATACTGATCGAATCCCCGCATATATTCACACTCAATCACGTGACAATGTATTACGCTCCATGGATCCAAAGTTAGTCAAAAGTTACCACAGGATGTGAAGTAAGTTACAGGAACACAGAGCGTACACACAGTGCACCTGAAGGTTTCACACAGACACCAAATGCATATCGGGCTAGAAAGGGGTGCATCTTCACGTCAACTAAGTTTATACGTAGTATACCAGAAGCGGAATGCATCAGGAGTTCTGATGGCAGAGGGTGAAGAGGAATACTAGGCACGCTCTTATCCTGAATGCGCGCGCATGCGGGATCACAGGGACAGGTCAGTCGAGAGAAGCCAATTATGACCAGTTCAGCTGCATCTAAAACATCCTCGAGGTTGTGTGGTCATCAGATACTTTTTTATGCTTGATTCATTGTTTGTTGTTTATAATTTCATTAAAATTAATTTCCAATGTACCTTCATTTCTTTTCCTGAAGAAATCTGGGTTATTTTTACGGCGGCGAGCCCTTTCCTTAGTGACATATATAGTTACGCCATATGTGCAATGTGAAGACAAATCGCCATAGCGATGCCACCGAACTTTTCAGGAAAGATATGACGTCACCTCGAAGATGTCTTGTGCAAGAAGTACTGTGAAGAACTTACCGATTTGTTACCCAGCTGTTTCACCTTGCAGGGCAGGTAGGCATGTGTTCCGAGTTGAGTTGTTATGTTGGTAGCGGACGATGGATCGAAGTAAGGACCAGTGTAGAGACCACTGAACCTCTTCATATGGTTGTGTAATGGTGGTATTACCGCCACGCCCTCTGCCCCAAGAGCTGTGGACAAAAATGAAGAAAATTCTTAAAATGCTCACACAACTCTCAACTTTTTACGGTGCGTCATTAATAAATTTACATGAATTATGTCAATGGAAGGTTATTGAATACTTTTCAACGTGCAATGGGAAACAAAATCGACATACCAGCGATATTCTTTGAATTCACAGAACCGTTTCCCTCTAAGTTTTCATACTCAACGTGTGATGTAAACTCAAACACATTTTAAGCTATCCCTGTAACAGGCCGCGGAGGCCCATAGAGGCTCACATATTTTCTAGACAGTCGGCTCACAGATGGAGGTGAGGTTGTCAACCTTACTCGCTGGCCGCCTTTTACCCCCAGAAGGATTCCTGGTACTCATTTATGTTAGAGGTTGAGTCGACTCCAGGGCCATAGCATGGCTGGAAGGATTACGTCAATTGAAAAATCCAATGACCTCATCAGGGATCGAACCTTCACGCTTATAGCACAGTGTCTAAACCAACAATGTTACCGCGTGTCCCCAAAGAGTAACACTTATCTGGCCACAGCGCCAGGAAAACTAACAGCGCCAGAGAAGTCCGACGCTTTTGGAGACGACGGATCACCATCCCCGAGTAGACGCCATGGACACTAAATACCCGATTTCGATCCTGACGGCGCCTAGTATTCCTGCAAGTGTGCCCAAAATAATGATAGTCGTTGCAGAAAGGGAGCAGTCACAGGGAGAGGGGTTACAAAATGATAAGCATCAAAGGGAACTCGGCCAGCGAGCGAAGCGCCACAGCGTGGAGTGTCAAACACTGAAACTGCCAATATCGTAATTAAAAAGGTCGTGTAATCCAAGATCTATGACCTTGACATTCGACACAGTATTTGCTAATCTCTGCTGGCAGCGTGTGAAGAGATTCCACAAGTTTGTACAATTGGCTAACCCCGTCATTTTAACTGGTAGCGCGGGTGGGGTCACCCCCGCTTGTCACAATATGTTGCGAAACAACTGACATCCAACCTCACCTTGCCTGCCACAATAACGACAGTTTTAACTATAATTTTCGGAACCTTAGTCTGTTTCCATCAGATAAAATATTTCTTTCGGAGAGCGGAGCCAGCTTCCGAGAGGATTTGTTTCTGTAACCCCCCCCCCCCAAAAAAAAAACATAACGTAGAGAGCCAAAATCAAGTTTTCGTCGAAATTTCGAAGACATGACAAATTTGAATTTCGATAATTGGCAAGAGGCATAATTTTCGTCATTGGAGATATCGTATTGACATGATCGAAAACTTCTATACATACTGAACTCAAGTAATGAAAGATTGTTTCAGAATTCACTCTTGCATTTCGGGTTACGTAAGGAAAACCTACCCAACTTCGTGAATTACCCTGTTTCGTGGTATGACACTCTACGCAAAATTAGGTGTGTGCTTTACAGTTCTCCATTTGATGATTTCAACATGGCCTCTCTTGCCATGAGGTTGGGTTCATTACGGATTTAATAAATCCATGTATCTGGCCTCTGGAACATACGTTGCAAGTACACGTGATGTTCGGCAAGCTGGTCAAGGTTAGCATAGTAAAAGTCACCCCAAGTAGCTGTACTGCACCGCTCAAAGCATACCAAAAGATAAGTAAATTAAAGTGTTTATTCAATACGACTTATTTAACGATGCTGGATCAACATAACTGGCACAACTACTTTCAGAACGGAAGTGGCTTGAGGTTATTTTTTTCACAATATATAGCATTACAGATGCTTCAGACTAAATCACCTGATAGCCACGCCATAGCTCATTCGGTTAGTCGCTGGCTTTCCACCGCGGCGGCCCGGGTTCGATCCAGGGTCTGGTCAAGTGGGATTTGTGGTTGACAAAGTGGCGCTGGGGCGGGTTTTCTCCGAGTACTTCGGTTTTCCCTGCAAATTTTTATTCCACCATATTCTCCATCATCATAATCACCCGGGGCAGGCTACAATAGACCGCAGTGCTGAGTGGACCCAGTTGGACTCCACCCGCGCACTAAGCGAATTAAAAAAATCACTTGATTCTCTTTGCCGCATTTCCGTGACGTTATCAAACTGATAGTGTGATTCACAGAGCAGGAAATAAAATAACCGGACAGTACATATTTATAAAGACCTTCTAGGAACAAAAAGAGTTTTATATTGAAATACAAATTCAAAAGTACCTATTTCTATTAAAATAATTACGTGACATATGCATAGGGCAATTACATTAATAACAGAATTTTATACAATACAAATAATCCACCTGCTTTTTGCGGCATTGTGCCAACACAGGGAAGCGTCTCAACACAAAAACAACTGAAATTGAAAATTCAATTAACAGGACACCAGTCAGTATGTTTTTGCTGAATATGATCATTTACAATAATTTAGAAAAATTAATTCGTATGCATTAATCCTTTAAATTGTAGTGGTTACTATATGTACCACTTACTTTACATAAAAAATTATGCACGTACAATGTACTTACGTGTTCTGTGTGGCTCTCAGAACAGAGGATTACTTCCCTAGAGAGCGATCGGCAATAGATGCAAATTGTTCCCGTTGAGGTAATGATTCATATTTTAAATGTTATTCAAGTTCATAATTACTGATGTTTCGGACTTTGTCCATCGTCCAGTAGTCTAGAAACTAGACAAGACAACGTTTCAGAAACTGGACCTATGAGGGAGGAAGACACCTTCTCAGTTGAGCTCCTTAGAAAGAGCTAATCTCAAACACTGGACAACTCCTGTCAGATTCGCATAGATATTTAATCACCTGAGACCAGGCTAGTTCTACGGGGGATAACAAGGAAATATACACGTACAATAAAAATTGTGATAAAGCACGCACATGCGTGGAACTAGGATAGGAAAGAATGTAGAAATTTATGCTATAAATCTAGCCAACAAAAAGAAGCATATGTGCACCAATGCACGGAAAGTTGTCTACACGAACATAAACTTAAAACATGCGTGAACATAGCTTATTTCTCTCATTCCCGGAAACTGGCCAAAATGAGAAGATGTCGTGAACCAGGAAAAGACCCATTATTACTGGAATATCGCCTTCCAATCGGCTTCCCGCAAAGCATTGCTGAACCACTGACACTCAACAAACTTCAGCCGAAGTCTTGAATCACTGCAATTGACGCCACAGCTGCACCTCTCAGTAACCCGCAGGAATGACGCGTGACATGGGTGATGCCTATGAATCTAAAGAAACAGGCGGAGGTCTATGCTTGAATATTGCAATGGATTTCGGTCGAGTAAGACACCAAGAGCTAACATGAAATTGTTCCTCCATAACATTCCAGGCGACATAACACAAGAACCCTGCAAATTCCGCCATCCATCATATCCTTCTTCGGTGTCCCTCGATGATCTGTTCTTGTCACTACGTTGTTTCTGATATACATAAATGGTATTCTGAGCTCCACTTAGTTACTGGCGACACCGCACTCCTGGCCAGACAGACCAGACCCCGTTAACCTAGACAAGACATGACAGTGCTCTTCATCACATGTTCACATGGACGTCTGACTGAATTAAGATTATTCAACCATTCAATGCCTTCGTCCAGGGAAGTGAAGTCGCTTGGGATTTGGATCGGAAACTGCTCTGGAGCGAACATACAAGCAACACAACCAACACAACCAACAAGACATTAGCAAGAATTTCAGCATCTGTTATGCTTACGAAGCCTGTGGTATTATACAAAAGGATATTCTTAAGGATTACAGGAAAATGTCCCAGAAAACACAAATGTTAACTTCTTATATGAAGACTTTTCAGTCCTTAAACTGGATGCATACCTCCAGGTTCTAGCTATAAATACGTGTGAACAAATGAACACACACCTCAAAGGGCTGAGAGGCAGCTGTGTGGAACCTGCTGACCAGAACTGTGTTGACGGGCATAAGGGACCGCGGAAAATATTTTTGCAAAGAAATGGGGACATACGGCAAAGAAAAACGAAGAAGACAAGAGGACATAAAAAGGAAATGAAG